CCCCAAAACCCCAAAACCCCAAAACCCCAAAACCCCAAAACCCCAAAACCCCTTTTTACAAAGCAAAGATTGCTGGCTTTAGTTTCTAATAAATAAATTTTTATTTTATATCAAGCAATGGGATCTGTAAGTCGACACTATTCACTCATATGCTTCTCTGCTACTGAATTGTTCATTGTTCGCTAACAATTGTCTGACTGTTCGCTAGGATTGATGCTCAGGCAGAAATGATCACGAACACGATGTTGCACTCACTTCGAGGACTCAGGAAATGTTCAGGAAGCTGTACGAAGCTGATGAAATGGCGAAGCTGAAGAGAGTTCAAGCCATCATGAGATCATATCTTGCAGCGAAGAGAGCCAATGCGGCCAAATATGGGTGCTATGAGTTCAAAGAATTTCATATCAACGAAAGCTGCTCTACTAGCGAATATGTTGATAGAGTCATGGCTCAGTATGGGGGCTACAAATATGACACCAGCAAATCTCTCAATGCTCGCTATAATGACAAACAACGAGTCTTCAAAGGCAAAAGTGTTCAGGAGAACGGCGCTGAGTATCAGGGAGAACATGACAAAGAAACTGGCGCTAGACACGGAATGGGCACAATGGTTTGGGCTGACGGAGCTAGATATGATGGGTGGTGGCGAAACGACAGGGCTAATGGGCCTGGAAGACTCATCATGGCCAGTGGAGACATGTATGATGGAGAGTGGATCAACGACAGAGCAAACGGACATGGCCACTATATTCATTACAGAGGCACCGAGTATGAAGGCCAGTGGCACAACGACCTGCAGCACGGAGAGGGCAGAGAAACGTTCCCTGACGGGTCGACCTACACTGGCCAGTTTAGACTGGGCAAGAAGTACGGCTCAGGAAAGTTCGAGTGGCCAGATGGCTCCAAATATGAAGGAGGCTTCGAGAACAACATTATGAACGGGAAGGGCGAGTACACTTGGGCCGACGGCCGTGGCTACAATGGAGACTGGGTTGATGGCCAGATGCACGGAACAGGAGTATTCCAGTGGGAAGACGGCAGAAGGTATGAAGGAGAATATCAGCGCGATCAGAAACATGGAGAAGGTACCTTTTACTGGCAGGATGGAAGAAAGTATGTTGGACAGTGGAGTAATGGAAAGCAGCACGGTAGAGGTGTGTATACCACAGCCAGTGGTGAGTCCAGAGAAGGCATCTGGAAAGATGGTAACAGACAAAGCTGGGTTGACGAATAGTTGGTTTCAATTTTTGATAAACCAAAGGGGTTTTGGGGTTTTGGGGTTTTGGGGTTTTGGGG